ACTTCGATACGTATTCAGAACATCTGGTTTCGCAAGTTGGCTGGTGTGTATGCGCTCACGGAGTCGTCGAGGGTATCCGCCAAAACGCACCCGCAGATCAGCACATATTAGTGCATGGTCAATGTTCACACATGCCAAGTGGCACTGGGCAGATTAGCACTCCCTGTCAACCTTTTCGGTCATGCTTTGCACCATCATATTTTAAGGCTTTCCTCCAAGATTGGCAGGGCCGCCTCCTTCTCTGACCCTTAATGGGATCAGCTAGAAGTCATTCAAAAGTTCAACTACCCCTGTAGTTGTATCAGCGCCGTTGGAACCTAAGACGAGGTCACGAACCGTATAGCAAAAGCACAAGGCGCTTTTGCTAAACTTCGCCACCTATGGCGCCGGCGTGACATCATTCTCTTTCTGAAGGGTAGAGTGAACAATGCAGCCGTGCGTTCGACCCTACTGTACCGTTGTGAAACCTGGCCCTTTAGATGAGCGGATATATAGAAGCTAGTTACGTTCGACCACCGGTATCTTCGCAGTTTGGACCATATCTGGTGGGAAAACCGTGTGAGCAAACAGCATTTTCGGTGCCTTTTTTATGGCACAGGAGGAATAAGCGAACCGCTCAGCACCGTTATTTCGCACAACAGGCTCCGATGGCTGGGCCACGTATTGCGTATGCCAGCCCACCGACTCTTGCGATGTGCGTTGTTTGCGCGCCGGGGTTGCGGTTGGAAAATGAGGAGAGGTGTTTAAACGATGACTTAGTCGAGAGGAATGATGACCCTTACTTCGAAGTTGACCTCTGTTAGAGCCTCTCGGCTCCCTGGTTGGGGACTGAAGGACGATGAACACTTTTGGCTGGATGCACCTGTTAACATGGCTAGGGGCTTACCTCAATGGTATTTGTGTTATGAGTTTCTTTGTCCCACTCCGTCTCTCTTAGCCTCCCCATCCAAGTACGATCTCATTTGTTAGGTATAATGTAACTTTTTGCGGCACAATAGACGGCTGTTAGCTCTCTTTGTACGCTGTCCATGCGTTACTGGTGACAGCTGGGTTGCTTCTGTTTCATGTTCTTTCTTTGTTTTTCGATACAATAGCAATGGTGTTCTCCACCTGCGGATTACGTCTATTTTGGTTTATTGGATGATACGTTTCCACTATCTTCCTACTATCTTGTACGTCAGACTGTTGAGTCAAAGACTAGTGACAGGGCACCTCGAACAAAACCCCTCCCTTGAACTGGGCAGTTGAAGAGTGTCATCTTCCCTCCTGACCACTTCGACAATTCTCCCTCACCTACCTCTTATTTTCTTCTCTCTACTGTCTCTCCCGTCTACTGACCCAAAGACTGCTGCTGACTTCGTTTTCTTCCATCAAACCCATAGTTTCCTTTCACATTACTTCCTTTAACGTTCGCACCGTAGGTCCGATCGACCAGCGAGCAGCACTCTCTTCACTTTGATGGGTGCTGTTTCTTCGCAGCACGCATACAAGATAACAGAGTCTTGACAAATCTTTAACTCCTTGATTCTGCGTTTTACGACGATGGTTACATTCTTCGCGTCTTTGGCAATACTGTATCAATGGGTCAAGGTACTTACGCTGTTGCTATTGTCCTTAGCAAACATGCGGTAGGTAGATTACTACACTGGATACCGGGGAACAGCCCAATGTGTACGGTTCGACTTCGAACTTCTATCGGAGTTATGAAGCAGCATCTGAAGATGAGGTGCGTTTTCATCATTTCAATGAATACCTTACTGAATGCAATTCAGGGGGTATCAAACACGATTTCTATCGACCGTTGTCATCACTTCTTCGCATAGCGAAGAATACTGACGTCATGATTGTTGCTGACGACATGAATGCCCAACTGGATCGCCTTTCAGACTGAACAACACCTGCGAGGGCGCTCCGTAGTCGATACACGCCGAACGGTTTTTAATGGTCGATTCCTGCAAGTGTGCACCGATCACTACCTTTACCTTTGCAGCACTGCTTTCCAGCACAATCATTCACACTGCCTCACCTGGTGCCCACCGAATTCCTCAATAACCTGGACCCAAATTGACCATATTGCCATCAGCTGCAGATGGCGCACATCAGTTCAAGACTGTCGGTCAATATGGAGGGTATCGCAGAACTCGGTTTTTTCTGGACAATCGATTTATTCGGCAAGGCATGCTCGGCGAAATGACAACATGACATGCATGTAAAAACTTCGATGTAAATAACTAAGTCACTTCCATAACTAATAACGCTGTTTCCATTATGTGGTTCTTTCATTGAATCAGTTAAACAAATCCACTCCAGCGAACCAATCAGCACGTAGGCGAAATGTGCGTATCTGTCCAATCAACTGCTGTGGTCGGTTACGACACGCTAGCCGCTTACTTCGCCATGTCAGTCGTCCTTCTGCTTGCACAGTCCCATCACAACGCGCGTGCCTAGATTCCGACCATACTCTAGTGCGCGCACACTTGGTGCTCACTATTCCCACTTCAAAGAAACGTTTGTAAATTTAACTCGCAATGTACAATATCACAACAAACTAGACCACTAAATGCCAGTGATGAATAAGGTTGGTGAACCGAACGCTGATTGTGATCATCTGAATGTGCCTTGAAGAATGCCTTTGACGCATGCTGTGCACCCAACTTGAGACTTCGTAAATGTTAATGGATCTCTGTGAATGGATCAGTTTGATCGAAGCACGGAAACAGCTTTCGATGGGTACTAAGTTTCAACGTGTCGGTAACCATGAAACGACGTCTGACCAAGAGTCTTTGAATTGACCGGGAACATTGCTGGGTGGCAAAGGCCCGTGAGATGGAAAAAGCCAGTACTACTCCAGATTATCTGAAACACGGGTCCGAGAAATCCACCAGTTAGTGAGACAGCCGAGAAACATGGACTGTTGATCCATTCTCAGCGTCCTCGACTAACGCGTTGGCGAAACATTTTGAAGTGCAGTTTAGCAGGCGTGCTGCGACACTGCCCCTTGCCCAACCATCTGGGTCGACGTGAGAAATAGATATCACACCCATTTTTAAAAGATTCGACATGAGTTTCCGTGTCTCAACGAAAAATTGCTCTGGGACCCGACGACCTTCCCGCGTTTTTGCTGAAACATTGTGGTGGATCTTTTTAGTCTGGACTCGCTTCTCTGCTTAAAACGATTCGGCACTCTGAACTGTTGCCTTTAGACTGGCGACTGACAACTGTCGTGCTCATCTTCAAGAGCCGTCGGTGTGCTTTGTGCCCAAACCATCGAGGCATTGGTCTTCTTTACGTATTACCCAAACTTTTCGCAAATACCCTTTTCCGACGACTTACTTGTCCCGTGAGCATCGAATCACTGAAAGCCAGGCTGTGTTCTGCCCTGGTCGTGGTGGCATCGACCATGTACTTACTCTTCGCCAACTTTTGGGACAGAGTCACACATAAATACGATCGACTCTGGGAGTTTTCCTCGACTTGAAAGCTGCCTTCAACTCTGTTGACCGCTCCAGGTTGTGGCACTGCCTAACCTGATGAGCATGCCAGCAGAATTCCTTTCTATTATTCAGCCTTTACCGTGACTCCCAAAGTCATAGAAGGGTCTACGGGAAACTGTCTCCTGAATCCCCGACAACAAGTATGGTCAGCCAGAGCTCTCCTGTAGCTTCTTTTCTCCTCAAGTTTGTTATCGAAATAATTACGTGACTCCCTTCTTTCAGACTACAGGAGTGAAAGTTCTGCCAGGTGACTAACTGACGAACCTGGAGTCTGCGGACGACATAGCTCTTTTGGGTCTGCCGCAAACACTGCTGGATAGACTGATGCGTAGTGCTGCACCTTCAAATGCAAAGTAAGGCGGCAGCACTGGGTCGACACACCTGCTGTTCTAACTATTTCTGAACAGCCACTGGAAGCGATGGATCCGTTCACTTACCTTGGTAGTTGTGTAATCTTTAGTGGTCACATCACTGAGGAAGTTACTTTGCGCATCAGCAAGGCCCGTGTAGCTATCCAGATACTCATCCATCTATAGAGACGGTGGAATATCAGCCTATCAGTGAAATGTAGGGTGTATAACCCTGCGGTAGGGCCGGTCTAAGACCTCCTCAGTTGGAGGCGAAGGGGTTAGACACTTGACTGTGTTTGACCATCGGTATTTGCGAAGTATTGCTCAGGTCTGGTGGCAACACCAGTTGTGCAGTGCTGAGGTCCATTAGCTGGTTTTTTGGCAGCAAGCCTTCTGGTGCCTCACTCGAGTGTTTGCTGAATCTTAATCGCTTACCGTGGCTTAGCCACGTTCTCCGTATGCCCGTTGACCGGATACCACGGCGTGCATTATCCGCCGTGGCTGCAATGGGTTAGGCGAACCCACTAGGCGGCCAGTCCTTGACGTGGCATGGAGGCATGAAGAAATCGACTGAGAGACTTGGTCAGGCTGCTGCGTACCGTCATCATGGATAGGGGCCTCGGGACAATCCACACCAATAGTTGGTGACCGTATCAAACATGGTCCAGTCACGAAGTCAACGGCGTTCCTGTATTCCGTTTCCTGCATCCGGTTATTAATTTTCGTTCTGTTCTGATTAGTAGTCTGACTCACTTCGTTCCTGCTTCTGTTTTCTTTGCATTTTATCTGCATTGAACCTCAAAATCTTCCCATCGTCATTTATTGTTATTCTTGCGAGCTGAGCTGTGGCAACTGGATGCACTTCGGTACTCAGCTCATAGTTGTTCAGCTGAACTGAACGGGATTTGTCCACGCCATCATTTTGAACACCTCAGCCTTAGAACCAAGGATGCATCGCGTTCTATCTCCTCGGTTTCTGTGTCTAGCTACATTATTGTCACACGGTGTCATGCATTATTTCGCATAACTAATACTTGTTTCTTTGTTGCGTCTAATACCTTCGTGTGCCACAGTCGATATGCACCAACTAGCTGTGTTGTCGGTGTTTTTCATTGTAACGTTTCTGCAGTTAATCATCTTTTGGTTCACTATCCAGATCAGCGCCCCCATTCATGTGAGCTCTGCGACAGATCCTTTGCTGATAAAAGCGCTTTGCAAAAGCATGTCAAATCCGTTCATTTTGGTGAGTGTGTAGCTGATAGCGTCATTTAATCTCCACTTCTCTTTTTATCTTGGTCGATCATATGGGGTATTTTTGATTAACAAACAGTGCACTACGCTTCTCATGGTACCCAGGTGAAAAGTGGTCCAATTCCCCTATTGACTACTGTGCAGTAAACCGAATGATCCTGTTGTATCGTACGGTCTGGTGATCCACATCCTTGTTGTGACTGTGTGCCGCATTCTATTCACTCAGTGATCATGGCTAACTCCCCGACCACTTTGGCGGGCTGTTTTCTCCATGCTTATCGCTTTGCGAATGTTAGGTTCCTTTGATGATCGGGTGTATAACCGAGCGATTTCCTACTCCCTCTAGTTCACCACGAACTCGTGTTAATCATCAGCAAGAGCTAGTCCTCCGCATTCAGAGTATCCTTTAGGATGATCCTTTTGATCCTTGGCCCTTTTTCAACGTCAGTGTTCCGATCTCATGTTTGACTTCTGAGCGATTGGGCAGCTCCAATGCGACAACCCAGACTATAAGGTGATCACCAGACGGCGGGAAATCTGACAGTTCATGCCGATTAACTTAACTATCAAAGTATTCATCCCTACACTGCAACGTTTTGAAAAAGTGTGGATATTCTGCTCACTCTCGCCACATATAGTTTCACCAACACCAACTCTTCTGGCTCCCGGAACAACTTGCTGTGGTTACCAGGGGCAGCGGCGACGTTGAGACCACCAGGATTCGTGTTCTCTCTCCAAACTATCACGGAGTTTTGCCATGATGTATTTACGAGTCTTCTTGTGTTCCCTTCCAGCCGGAATGTGCCGGCGAGCATCGATAACTTCCAGAAGCTCCGAAGAGACACAATGTTCCCACGTTGAGTGCCGCATTCTATTCACTCAGTGATCACTCCGGCTGCACCACAGCTAACTCACCGGCTACTTTGGCCGGCTGTTTCCTCGATGATTATCGCCTTCTGAACGTCAGGTTCCTTTGATATTCAGGAGTATAACGGAGTGGTTCCAGTCAGCTGGTCCGATTTCCTACTTCTGCAGTCTCACTAATAACCCAGGTTAATCATCAACACGAGCCTGTAGTATGACCATCTGATCCTGTGTCCTTTTCAACTTCAGTATTCCGTTCTGTTATTCGACTTCTGAACTATTTTGTGGATTCAATGGAGAACCCATACTGCAAAAGGATAACTAAGCGGCGGGAATTGTGACGGTTCAAACCGATTAAATTACCTCACAGTGTTCAGTCCTGCGCTCCAAACGTTTTGACAAATTGTAGTTCGGCTGTCCACTGTCCTCACATATAGTTTCATTAACATCAGGTCTTCTACCGCCTGGAATAACTTTCTGTGGTTATCAAAGGCAGCAGCCACTTCCATCTTTGACGCACGATGAGACCACCAGGATTCGCAGTCTCCCTTTAGCCTAGCACGGAGTTTTCCGCTGATGTATTTGCGAGTCGCGTCGTGTTCACTTCTACCCGGAATGTGGCGGCGAGCATGGATAAGTTCCAGACTGCGAAGTGACCCAGTGTCTATTTTGGCTAGTAGATTTACCACGGAGATTTGACTGCTGCTAGTAAGGTCTAGTGAACAGGCGACCAGTGACCTTCAGCTGTGTTCTGTGAGCGCTTACTTAGCCGAATGCCCGTATACTTTGATACACATTCAGAACAGCTGACTTTGCCAGTTGTAACATACATAAGTGATTTAAAGTAGTAATTTATACGATTAAACGATTCAAGTCCATGTGAACCTATGTTTTCGATAAGCCTTCTACAAACTCGTACATTTATATGTGAAAAAACAAACTGGTAAACACTCTGCAAGTATTGGTACATTACGTTCAGTTCACAATCATTCCTCAACCGCACTCGCTGTATGTTTGGTAACAACTACTACTGGCGTACAACTCCGTGCTTCAGACATCACAGTTTTAGTGGGCCAAAGCCGTCTTAACATTTGAGTGAACCACATCTGAACGCTTGTACAGCAGAATCGCGATAGCCTCAGCGGATTCAGGTAAACGCGTTTTCATCGATTGTCCGGTATATAAAAGTCACTTTGAAAGACATACCTAACTTGGTTGCATAACCAGTGTCGACGAGATCCGTCGCTATGGATAAGCTGGTTTGTTTTCCACAATCAGCTCTATAGATAATCGAAGTACGATTGGCGCTGCCATTTATGAGGTATACCCACATGCATGTTCAACGTTGTTAATAGATTTTAAATGGAACAGAGAAGATAGCGAAACCAATTTTCCAACTGCAGTCGGGCTTGATGACCGTGAACAGGATAGAGTTGACAGCTTTTGCTGTGTATCATGATGGAGCCTGATGGGGCAAGGGGGTTGCGTTAGAGCCAGAAGTCTGGATTGGAATCGAGGACACTCACAGAGTTGGGATGAAAGGCTGACGTGGTAGAGAGCCACAACTCATTACTCATAGAACCAGGTGTATGGGAACCAACTACTTTCGATGCGTGCGGTCGCCATGAGATCACAGTTGGTCAGGGTCAATGAAAAATCGGCAAACTCATTGTGCTTAGCAATCCAAAGTTGATATACTTCAACATAGAAGGGTCTTTTTGTAATATTCAATCGCAATGTGTGTTTGGATCCGAGAGGTTAACCCTATGACTGGTCAAATGGGAGGGGAACAGATTTTACTAAATGTCTCCTCGTGCTTGACGATTTGCTCGCGCCGCGGAGTTGGCTGCATTTCCCAGTGATTGCCAGTACGGTCCCGGTGAGGTACCTTCCATTTTCTTTATCTGTAGCTAGAATGAGTGTGCCAGAAAGTAGGCCATCTCGCGCGGGACATTTTATTAGAGTGCAGCGATTAATTAAATTTAGGCGCCACACACTTTTAACCATCTTCTTCTAGTCCAGAGTGGGACCTGCATCAACAGCGATTCGTTAACGGGGGGAATCCTCTGGTCACGATTGTGCTACACTACATAGTTTTTGCTCCTATTCTAACAGATTGTCCACTAATCTGTGACTATACACTTTGTGTTTCCTAATTCAGCAATGCGCCCCTATACATGTGAACAGTGTGGTAAATCGTTTCCCCAGAAGATTCATATGCGAATGCATCTCAGATCCGTCCATCTAAGTGAGTGTTTTCTGTGTAGTGTAAATTATCTTTTGCTTTACCGATTGCCATCGTCGATGATGTCACGTAGCCATATTGCTTGTAGCAGCTCCTTGTTTTATTGTTCTCACTACAGCCACTGTGTGCAATGATCTCTGTTAGAACATTCGATTATTTTAAACGTAGTGCCGGTGATCGGACAGATCGTGGTCCGCTTCTAAGTGCTTCGCAATTCAACTTTTTATTGATTGTCACCCCATTCGCACAATTTCCACTACTAGCGATCCAGCAGCAGTTCCTCTGCGCGTTGGGCTGCGTCTCTTTCTTCGGTTCATCTGTTTGTTGATGCGACCATTCCAGTTGGTGTGTGAGAGCTGAGATGCATTCGGTTTCTTCTTTCATGACATTGCGTATGGTATTCCTCTTGTCAACGTCCATATCTAGGGTGTTCATACGTCGCGCTTCGCTGTGGAATGCGCATCAGGCTTGTGACATCGAAATTTCCCCATCTGCTTTCTCCAACTGCAGCGCTTTTGTTACGTTTGTACGACATTTTCCGTTGCGCTGAGTCGGACTTCGAAAGTCATTTGAAAGCGTCATCTTTTAGTTGTGTAGTTCACTCATTCAATTTACAACTTACATCTTGCACATCGATTCTGAACACCAGGTTGATTGAGGCATATTGTTGTGCTCACTGTGGCAGTATGTGGTTGGTGCGCGCCTGTTGCTTTCATATGAAGCGTTTTTGTTCCCCGAATCTCGTCTACTCATTTTTCTTGCATCTTTATATGTTCGTCGCCATTGCATGTGCGCGTCTGATCGACTCGCGTTTTTTATGTCCCGTGAGTTACACAGTTTCTGGTTTTACGCTTTCCTGTCTCTTGCTGTTGCGTTCATATCTACTCAGAGACGGTGCATATGCCGCCACCATCTTCGCTGCAGCAGGATTGCTGCTTGTTTCGCGTTGGGCGTGTCGGTCTTAGGGATCGCTTTATTTTCCGTCCCTTCCCCTGCCAGAAGTGATGCATGAATTACTTGTAAAACGGCTCAATTGGTACTGCTGTGAAAAGGAGCGACACCTACAATATTTTTTCGCATTTGTAGCTTTGTCTGGCTTCGCCATAATCTGATTTCAGATTATTTCGTGTCTTCTCAAGTATACGCTTACAGAGAAATCGTGCGATGAGTAAAGGAATGCAATTGAAAGGGGATCACGAAGGGAATCAATGATACACTGCGAAAATCACGATCATCGCCTACGTGCTATCTGAGCAACGCAAGACTGGGCGCGATGTCCAAATGTTTGCAATGGTTAGGCTTTATTCTCTTTATGGCGGAAGCTTCATCGAAACTAAGCAAGTGCAGTTGTTTTGTCTGCTGTTTGAGCTGACTGGAACTGGACATTATGTTGCCGTTGCCGGAGCCATCTCGATGACACCTCGAGAGCCAGAGTCGGTATTGAGACACGGATACGCAGCTCGCATTTTCTTCATCTGGCTGGATGAACGTCGACTTCTTCATTGCTTTTTCATTTATGCTTAATTTCATGACACCCATCAGCTGGATTTCGGATTTTCGTTGGAAATGACATACAGCCCCGCTTTTGGGAAATCCGATCTTAGCCGCCGAGGAAGTGTGTCTTCCCTGCGCATCTCTTGTGTGCGAACGGTGCCAAGTTGTCCGTAACCTGCAACACTCTGGTGGTTGTATTTGGCATTATGCTTCTAACGTCGAAGTGACTGATCCTCAGGCTGTCTCCATTCAATCTGTTTTCTAATCGCACCCTGTCTTCACTCAGTCCGAATACCCAGGGTAGCGTCGAGGTTAGCGCTTGATTCGTCTACCTACTTCATGCGACCTATAGATAATCGGGCTCTTACACGTGGTTGCACCTTATCTTGCTTGCGGTGAATGAAGGTTATCTGAATGATCATACATTGAAATATCCTCAACAGTACGCCGGTACGCGGTGCCGACGCTTAGCTGTCGCGCAACCACCAATTAGCGCGCGTGTACTAAGGATACTGCGATGAACACTGGGCGTCCAGAATCTTTATACACTCGCGACCAAATTTCTACGACGGATTTCATCTTCTGGATCTTGAGGTACTTTGGCCCACCTGCGCAGACATTTTGACGTGACTATTTCATTACGGCTACACCCCTTGGCTAAAATGCCTGCACAGTGTCTAGCAAATCGCTGTGAAACGATATGCTTGCAGCATGTATGCGGTATGATGCTTGGAGTCTGAGAGAGTGACGTGGTGGCTAACGGCCTCACACCACTACTTGACGCTTCAACTTGCAAGCTACCACCTCGTTCACCATTTCGGTCATCCTTGCGTTAGGAGATTTTTAAGAAGTAGCAGCCAAGTTTTATATTGCGAATTTCGGAAATTTTTTTTCAATATTTTGATCTTCGTATGCCCCAACCTGCGAACCCTCGATCTGACTGATACTCCCGTATTTTCTACATATTTTTGTTGTATAGTTCGTTTGCAATTGTTCACATTTTATTCCCAAATTTAGAACAACGCGATCACACGTGTGCGCACTGTGGCAAATCATTTGCCCAAAAAGCCAGTTTACAGTCACACACTACCTCTGTTCATTTGAGTAAGTGCACAGCTAATACAATTTGTTTTGAGCCGAATAATCATCACATTCTTTCCATGTTGGAGTTCTCTCTCCTTACTGAACCGTTCGTTTGTTTTCTGACAAATGAACCTCTTATCGTTTTGGTCTCATATTCTGCTCTCGGGAGGAACCGTCATGGGTGTGTGGTCTAAAAAGTGGCTGCACATCTTTCCTATTGTCTCATGTACCTTTCTCTGAGTTTGGTTTTCACGTTGGTATAGACACCACAAATTTACCATAATCTCCATATAACGTGGTACTCTTCCAGAAGTCAGATCAAAGGACGTTAAATACACGCTTGCGCATAGTGCAGTCGTAGTACGTTGCCCCGGTTTCTAGTTTCATCTGCGATCGTGCACACGGTAACTGAGGGTGATTTGGATTTCATCATCCGCAGCTCCATCCACACTTCCACGATGAACCTGACGAAGCAATGTTGGGAAGAATGCTTATGGGATGTGTGGTTATCTCGGGGCTGGCCAACAATTCGTCACTGGGGTCATCGTTGATGCACATTTCTGGGAAACCATTGTATCAGACAAACAAAGATTGGTGACTGAGCTCTTTCTGATCCCTTTATAGCTTCTGCGGTCGCGAACATTTTTCCTTTCTCATAGCAACAGTCGTGGTTGTCTTAACGCACATTCGACAACTTAACAACTGCAATAGTTGCATCAATCGCGTCGATGCTTGGCGCATCACACGAACTCTAACTTCACCCTTGAGGCCTACACGTCTAGCTGAACTACAATGTAGAGTCATAACGATCAAAAGTGGCGAAATGTCCAGGAAGTGTAACTTGGCTAGTGCCAGGAGAATTGCTTGGATTTGTTGTGGCTGTGCACCTAAACGGAAAGGAGTTGTTCAGAATGCCAGTGTGCTGTTTTACAAAACGAAACCATGTGTCATGTGCGAACATTTTGTGCCTACATTCCGACCACGGCGTTTTTGTGCTGTGATACGCTTGTTCCTGTCGTCTGTTCACACATGACCAACACCTCTCCTACCTCCGCGACCTATTTAATCCATTGTGTACTCCACTGTGAAAGACTGGTTTTGGTGTGTTTGCTTCTGCTTTTCACCCCTTGTATTAATCCTCAGAGCGAAACTACGTGCCTGCTTGAATTGACACTGCGAAGCCTGGTGGTCTCATCGTGCATCGGAAATGGGAACAGCCGCTGCCGTTGGTAATCACCTTAAGCTACTACGTTTGATAAAGGAAACAGGCAGCAGGAGAGCTGGTGTTATCGAGACCCTACGCGACGAGAGTGGGCAGCCGATCGACAGCTTGTCACAATGCTTGGAGCGTTGTGCCGAACACTTTGCAAGGTAGTTTATTCAATCTGAGTTATCGCTTTCTTTTTCGGGCATTGAGTGCCCCTCTCGCTTGACTGTCTATTTGGATCCACATTCACATACATAAACTGATCGTGCGATCTTACTGTTGAAATTACAAGTGGCCGCAGGGTCAGAAATAATTCCCTCAGCCCTCTTCAAATTCGAGGGGGCCTGTTTTTGTGAACGATTTGCACGAATTACCAGCAAAACTTTGGGAGCAGGCAACTTTCTTACTAGACGAGAGCCGTTCCGTCATATTCCCTAATTCCAAGGAGGCTTGCAGTTTGAATGCGGAAATCATAGAGGGATCCGTCTGATCGAAATTGCCACTACATTGCTTGCGTCTGTCGTTCTCCACAGACTGACTGGCACTCGTGAAAGCCTGCTTCGTGAAGAGCAAGCCGGGTTTCGTCGAGGTCGGCGTTGCATCGACCATATTTTTACCTTGCGTCAATTGTTGTAGCATCGCCATGTTTTTGGCGACCTACGTTGTCATGTTTCTCAACATAAAAGTTCCTACGATTCGGTGGATCGGTGTGCCCTTTGAGACTGTCTGCTCAGGAAAGGTTTACCCGTGAAATACGTAAGCATTATCGAAGCGCTCTACGCGCATGCTTCGAGCAGGGTGATGGCTTACGGCATGCTGCGCCACCCTTCAATATCTCCAACGTTGTGAGACAAGATTTCCTGCTGTCACCTTTTCTCTTTATTTTGACCATTGACAAAGTAATGGAAGCAGCGTTCATTGGACACGACCTGCAAGGTGTGGAGACACTTTCTGGTGAGCGACTTCTTGATGGAGTATGCAGATGACATTGTCCTTATCTGTGACAGTTCACGGACTTGTCAAAATGTGCTTGACCGATTATCTCAGGCTGTCAGTCGTTTTGAGCTAGGCTTTGCTCCATGGAAATGCAGTCATTCTTTGAGATTGTCAGGAGCCCACCTCTGCGCTGATCCTCGTTGGTGATCAGCTAGAAGTCGTGCAGGAATTCAAGGACCTGGGCAACTCTATTAGCTCCCGTTGGATTGAAGATGAGGTTACGGACCGTATAGCAAAAGCTTGTGCTTTTGCCAATCTCCGCCATCTGTGGCGCTGACGCGACATCACTCTAGTCATAAAAGACAATGTTTATGATGCAGCCGTCCCTTCAGCTCTCTTATACGCTTGTGAAAGTTGATCCATTAAATAAACAGACAAAGAGGCTAATCACCTTTGACCATGGCTGCTTCGCTGCTTAGCTCAAGTCTGGTGAGAGCACTGCATGAGCCATGAATGCGTTCGACGCCGCGTACCTGTTGCAATAAGTACGAGTGATCCGCTCAGCGCCACCATATCACGCACCAGGTTCCGATGCCTGGGCCACGTGCTGCGCATTCCGGCCCACCGACTCCCGCGTCGTGTTGTTTGCGCTCCTTAGGTGTGGATGGAAGAAAAATGAGGGGATGCCGAGCAATACCTTGGTCAACAGGAATGGTGGTCCTCATTTCGAAGTTGGCGTCGGTTGGTGCATCCTGACTGCGTGACTGGAGTCCTAAAGACGAGGAACACGTTTGCTTGGACACACATGCTGATATGACGAAGGGCTGGCCCCAATGTCCTTTGTATTTTGAGTTTCGTTGCCCACCCCCTCCCATTTAGAATCCCTCTCAAATTACCATTTCATACGAAATGTGTAATATAATATTTAACCTTATATTACTTGCTTTTTGCATTCTTTACAGTGTACATTTTCAGTATCTTATCTTTTGTATTACGGCACATTAGCTGAAGTGTTTTTCTCACCCTCAACTAACATGTACTGGGTGCTGATGATGATTGCAGTTGATGGCTGTTGCCTGAATGTAGTACAACGCCAACGTTATAACACATTTCGCTAGTTGTCGTCGCCACTTCAACCGGACACGCACTTCCGTCTCCACCATTCTGGTGACACCGAATCCTCTGCATCTGAGGAAGCTGGGTTTTGTGACCCCCTTCATTGCTATTACCTGGGCAGCTTCTTGCGAGGCTAACACACATAAGCCGAAAGCCACGCTCCTTTTGTGATCATTGCCTACGCACCCACTGACTGAAGCTCGGATGCAGCCAAGGATCAGTTCTACCAACACTATTAGCTGCTCTTAAGTGCTTGCAGAACGAACCAAATCCGTGTTACAGGGGACTACAACTCACCTGTCGGCCAGTTACTGACTTGCGAACACCTGTGGGGTCGCATGGATATGATTATGTTCGATCTTGCAATAGCGACATACTGCTGGTTTGTTCTGCACCTAGGCGGGTTCGAACCTTTGCTCTACGGATGACAAGGCACACACGTAATCCTTTCAATCGCTGCTCCGGTGTATCACTTAATGTACGCTTCAGAAGTGTTAGCTATTCAGGAGATAGCAACGACAGTCTGAGGAATCCATTTGCTTATGGTCTTCCGTTTCATTGACAACGTGCGTTTGTGCAAAGGAATATTCTCGGACACTAGCATTAGAATGAAAATGAGGAATAGCTCAAACCATGTTGGGTGATTATCTAGTAACAAAAATGGTCGTAGGCATACCTAATAAGCTAGGAGAGGATGGTTGTCTAAATGTTTGATGCTTACACAATGTCAGCGGCAAAGCCAAGTGTATTCACCACAGACGGATTAGAAAACGCTTCAAAGACCGAGGATAATTGCTTTGGCTTTGTGTCAAGCGGATGACTGATAATAATCTCCGATGGAATCTCTTCTTCAAACCGCGCGCGTTTCACCAAGTGGTGCGGACCATGTATCAAAGCAGGTCCGCAGTGTTTAATCACTTCTGGCCGTATCGTGTCTGATCCGGCGCACTTGCTGTTTCGAAGCTGTGAAACTGCACTCTGTCACTCATCCACTGTCGATGTTTCGGAAAACAGCTTCGTTTCTTGTTGTTCTAGTCCGTGCAACGCAGCCCAGCCACCCTCTGAAAGGTTGTTCAGGAAACCGTCTTCGCGTAAGCAGCGTCTTAAGTATCATCCACTAGTGCCCTCAGCGGCTGCAAGGTGGATCCATACACCTTGTTCAAGGTGTCAAGGAATTCCTTATGTTAGCGGCGTTCGGCACAACATTCAATCTATTTCGACTTCTCCGTTGACTTGCACCTTTGATGCGACGGAGCTCTCGAGTAAGTCGCCGTCGAAGTTCGCGAAACGCTGTTTTTGGAGTCTGTAGTGTTTACTCTATATGCAGCTGAGGCTGCATTGTTTTCAGACACCAACGTGCCATTGGTCGCACCGTTGTCATCAAACCAGTCGGGCCGCTTACTGTTCACACACCCGATGGTGTCCTTGGTTGCAGCCGCCGCCTTTTTACGGATGTGGTGCCGCAAGTCGCTGAGTGTATCGGTAGAGGCAACTTCTCAAATATTTAAAAGGATTATCAACAATTTTATAACACGGATACCGTGTGCGTATGTGCGTAACCCACTGATCGCAATCACATGACATGAATTGCTACCGTTTTGAAATTTATTCTATACATGAAGCCCAAGTTGAAGGAACCTAGTTGCGTACTTTTTGCCGACAGGATATCGTCTTGATCAACCAGGTTTGCACTCACCACGGGGAGTGTTCTGGTGGCCGCTGAATGTACGGCTAACGTGCTGCTACAGCGTAGCTGACAGTCGCCAGAAATCTTTTGTGGGTTCCGCTAATCCCACCTAGATTCGCGTTTTTATCTCTACTGGAGTTCGATCTCCAATGTTAAACAGATCCACTCTTGTGCCACTGCTCTCGTCTTGATCGTTGACTGTAAGCTTTCTTTCCGTAACAGAGAGAAATCCAGCGCATTTCTGACTCTCCGATTCCAAGGAGTATCACTGAGCTGCAATCGTTTCATGGCGTTGTAGCACACTGCAGCCGTCTCCCACCCGGCTTGGCCACCCCACTCGCAGTGGTCACTTGAATAACTAGAGGTTTTTACCGTTGCGAAGAGAACAACTGTCATAGATAACCTAACAGTACATTCTGACGCTACCTGCCAAACATTATCCGATGCGACATGTCACTATCACATTTCGGGGCCGTACCATCCCACAATATGGACGGTGGGGCCGAAATAACCATCACTATCCAACAGAGTAATCTCATCGGTATCTCAATGGAACACGTTCCAAAATATTTTATAAAACCCCCCATTGACTTGGATTGGTGAACTCAAAATCATCAACTAGATGTCATTTTCCTGTATACAACGATGGGTCTTACTCGTCTCTTCTTACAATTGCATGCCTTATTACGTCATCGGAAAGGTAAACGAAATTGCGAACGCTTGGAACCATTTTCCATTATTTCACCCATCGGATTTTGTACTGGAACTTGCCGGAATTTATCCACTTGCTGCAGCACATGACAAGGAAATCGGTATCAAACTCTCGTATCCACTCTTAGCCTACTGTCAGACTGTACGCCTGTACCCGAGAGGTTGCAACGTAGCCCACCGGACACTGACCGAACAGGACGGGTCGCACTACGTGTAGTTATCAGTCTACGCCTTCAGCTAACTGTTTACGTCGTTTCAACCAGGTTTCTGTCCACGTGACTGACCGGGATCACCTGCATGTTCAACACTACACGTGTTCCATTGTTATATGTGGACACCAAGCAGTCAATCTCCTGGTTTTGTGTCACTTGTTACGCGATTTTCGCATGGTTGATTTACTTTTTCGCATAGTTACCTTAAAGGTCCTGATGCGACACATCTGGTATGCATTGCATTCTAGCAGATAATCGACTATTCTGTGAACGTTTACCCTGCATGCCTCATCTACAACTAGAAACTTTCTTCTTCATTATCTAGATGAGCGCCCCCATGCGTGTGAGCTCTGTGACAAATCGTTTTCCGAGAAGGGCACTTTAAAAAAGCACATCGAATACGTTCATCTCAGTGAGTGTGTGACTGTTATAACCATTTTACTTTATTTTATTATTTTCTTGTCATCTTATTGTGTCCAACCATGGTTATTTCTACGAAATACCTTCATCTAAAATTCTGGTATCACTCCATCCACACTACTTTGTCGGAGCGTTATCAAACTCATCGATCATGCAGCTGTATAAAATTGGCACGGGAACCGCCAGTACACCGGCCTCCACAGTTTCGTGCTACTGAGATTGAAACGCAATTTAATTGATAACCTAATCACTCGAGCAGGACGAATCTGTTCGTATGATACACTAGCAGAGAAGCTACAGGGAATATCCTCGGTGCTGCTACCCAGATCGCTTTGTAAAAGTCCGCATGGAGCAAAGGAAGAACACCCCAGTGGTCTTAACAGCCAGTGGAAGAGCAATTTTCCTACGGCTTCCTCGCAGAGGGCAAATCCAGCACCGAAATTCCTAATCCTCATCTCTTACTGGAGCTCAGACGGGTCTTGCCAGCAGCAAAATTACAGACCTACCTTACCAGCACACCGGTGGTGAAGCTGAGTATCAACGATAATAGATCTGTCCACGACAACTCCATGTGCGTCTGTTCATTTACCATGTTTTGTGTAGCTGGATCTAGTGGTCGTACAACTAGGCAGCTATCCGAGAGAGTGAAATAACCCCGTCCGGCATGATTAGCGGCTGGATGCAGAAGGGTATGTAACTCAGCCATAGCTTCTTACCTCGTCGACACAGTGCACAACCCCATGCCATCGATGCACTCGATATTTTCTACACGGCCCCTGATAATCGATCGAGGTGTTTGCCCAGGCGGATACTGGAAGACGCTGAAGTTATCGCAATTTCGCTGCATGAACCGAGCTTGTGCACTTAGAAACGATTCGTCCAGGCCTTACAGCTGCGCAGGTCCCGTCGTCTGGTGACCTTCATTCCGTTGGATCGTGTGCAGGTTCCGACATTGACCTGATTGCTAACAACGGTTGGCCTCTTCTTAACTGGTTTACCCTTCCTAACGTCTTCGGTATTCTGTCTAATTGATTTGACTGGTATATCATTGTACTATCCTGAAGAGGAATTATCGAAAACGTAAGTTATCTAATCCTGGCTTTTAAAAACTATATTCGCCCGTACACAGATCTATGTTAAATCAGTACTCTTTTATTTATCACGTTTACTATCTGTTCAAAATTTTGTCGTTCAGGATCTGATGGGTAAATTATTGCAGTGATTTTGGCGCCATCAGCCTTTGTTTACGATCTGCTGTTTTTTAACCATGCTTTAGTACAATCCTTTTCATTTGGAATGTCATCCGATAATGGCCCTTTGTTTGCTTACGCCGCATTCGAGAGCGGCACATCTACGTGCGAATTTGCGCAACCACAGATGATCCCTTACCTCTACAGCCCAACTCTGAGGTTGAGATAGCATTGAGAACATGCGTCAGTTCTGGGAACAGGCAACGCCTAACAATTGTCTGTTTCGAACGCGGTCGTACTGGCTGAGATATATTTCAAATTGAACTGCAGTTCGGATTTTAATTACGTGTCGCAATTTATTCGCCCGATGTATGCCTCAGAGTGACCCTGCACGGAGCGAGTAGGTGGTTTGCGAAAGTCAGTTTCACTCAACACCTCTTAGTGCAGCTCACTGGTTTTCCAGCATACGCATGAAAACTCTACTGTATAGGTGTCACTTTTAAGTTCCGCTTTGTTACTACAATTAATAACTACGTGGTTGTTTGATTGCGCTGGTGATGACTTATGCGGTAGCACTGTTTTGGAGTGCTGGCTTACCGAAATACCTTCTCGTGGTGCCAGTTTGAGTGGTTCCGGGTTTGTCCCGTTTCAGCGGAAAGTTTGACGGCGATGTTCCAGGAGGTGGTGGGTTTTCGCCTGGCAAGCCTTCTCCGTGTACCAGATCACTAATGTCCGTTTAACAACACTGGGACGTGTCGTATGTGACTCACCACTAATTAAAGTCATTGCTCCTTGCAGGGCATTGTAATTCCTCGAATGGAATTTGAATCTCTAGGTGGACTGGGTCATAGTTTCGCAGATAGCCAGCCAATAGGCGTTTGAACTGTGCGGTCGGTCACCGGGTCCCATTGGACACCCCGCTGCCTTTCGTGCAGACTATTGAGCCAAAAACTTGGGACAGATTCCCTATGGCAACTCTCAACCTCGGCCTGGGCAACCGGGTATTATCATGCGCGCTGAGAAATACCATGGACTTATAGGAGCGATTCTTAGGTGTAGATTTGGAAATTAATGCTTCCACGTTTACGGATGCGAAAGAGAAAGTGAAAACATGTCTTCCTATTGTTGTATTTCAATGCTCCCCCATATTATGTACGGAAGAGCGGAGGAAAGCCTGAGAAGGTACGATGCTGATGTTGGTGCACCGTAGTCGTCAGTTATTCAAACTTGCTATCGATTGTGTATTGCCTGGACCTTTGAGAGACGGTCAATGCAGCTGGTGAAAATGTAAGCTGACTAAGAATATTGTTCTAGCAAGGTTTGTGTAGCAAAATGTAAAAAGGTGTCCTACATACCTCTGCATCATTGCGCTAGCCGCACGGTGTTCAAGTAACCAGGAGTAAAAACCCGGTGGGAATAGCCGGTAACAACGGACGTCTACCTAATACAGTGTCGCAAAAAATGCCCGAGGCTGAAGCGTGTGAGGCATGCTGGCTAAGGTTCTGTGTCTAAGGTACAATGAAAAATTTGGGAATAAAATATGGGAATGCAACTGAGATGTTTGAGTTGCAAGTGTTGCGCAGCGCAGTCCTGTCCTTCCTTGTCGCGATGCGGACGTTCTACCGTGTCGCGCTAAGGGTGTTTTCCGTATCCTGCCAAGTACTGGAAAGCAACAAGCGGAAACAAACTGGCAGCAGGTAGTACAACACGATGGGCAGCACAGCAAGGCGTTATTGTCAAGATGCATAATACGCGAGACGGTCTGGAAAATGGACTTTTCTACTTGACCGTGTTTGTCGTATAGTACTATTCTTTTTTGAGCTGACTTTAGATGTTGATGATAGAGGATCATTTTCATCGAGCTTTTATGATTCCTGCATACGTATGGTGTTTTGAGGACCTGTTGATTGCTGTTCGCAATGTTGTTCGATATACGCTGGCTTGAGTCGGTCTACCGAAACCACATCGACTTTGCCATTCCTGTTGCTCATGTGGTATCTTTCTGCTCTTGCGATCGCCTCGAATGGCCCTTCCTACGGTGGCTGTAGGGACCTGCGGACTGCGTCGTTTCTTAGCCACACGTGTGAACAAGTTGCCGAATCTTTTGCCATATAACACTAATTAGCTTGTGCGCATGTGGCAGTAAAATGCAGTTCATGCATAAAAGTACGTAGGCGATGGGCAAACTTTGAAGGATCTAGTGTGTTGGCGTCGATTGATTCAACAAGGTCGGCCGGAATCTTTAATGTGATACCGTATACCACCTCTGCGGCAGAGAAACCTAGATCAGCTTTATTTGTCGTACAAAGACCTACTAAAACCAGCGGTAAAGTTTCAGTCCAACGAATAGAGTCAGAGCATGCTGTCAATGATGTTCTTAGGTGGCGATGGAAACCTTCGACTAACCCGTTCGCTGATGGATGCTACGCAGTTGTTCTTCTTCGCTTGGTTCCGTATTAGTTAACTCTCGAAAGAGGGTTGATTCGAATTGCGCTCCGCCATCAGTTGTTATGGTGGATGGGACACCATAATGTGCGATCCAATGAGCCACAAAGTTGCGTGCTACCGTCTCTGCTGAAATGTCCGCGATGGGTACTGCCACGGACCAACGTGTGAAACGATCGATACAAGTAAGAAGGTACTTATATCCACCCGACGGCGGCAGCGGACCGTCGGTGTCTATGTGCCCGTGATTGAAACCAGCATCAGGAACGGTGAAATTACCACCTAGTGCCTGAGTATGGCGCTGCGCTTTTGAATGTTGACAGGGTAAACAATTTCTCACCATGGTCTGCACGTCTTTGTTTTGTGCTGACCAAACAAAACGACTAGAAATGAGTTTGCGAGTTGTGCAACTGCCTGAGTGTGCTAAACCATCGCACATCCGCTACTGCTGTTTTTGTCGTTCGCCAAATTACATCACTCGACAACACCACATGTTAGAAATACCACTTCCGCTGATTCTACCTCCGATCTCGTTTTTTCTGACACTAAAAACTCAATCGATAGCCATCAAATTTGATCTAGGTTCCGATTGGTCTGCTTCACCGTAGGAACGCTTATGCAGTTCGATCAAAAGCCAGCTTGGCTCATACCTTGGAGTCTTTCGTCATTGACACTTGCTACCTTTCCGAAACCCGATTGCAGGATCCAAGCAGTGCACTTAGGCTGACGTCCTCTTCTGGTTGCGGAACCATATACCAACTGCGTCAATCCACTGACGCAGAAGCAGCTGTAGTAGGTTTGGCTGGCGTTGGGGTAGCACTAAATAAGAAAGCCGAAACTGCGTTGCTCGACTGGTTACTAGGTAACAGTCGGCTATGCGCAGTTCGGCTTCACTGGTCGTGTCATATCAACAGACGTCGCAAAGAAACACACAACCTGTTTGTCGTTTTTGCCTACTTCCCAACTGACTGCAACAGCGACTCCGTCAAGGATGATTTTTACCGCGAATTTCATATTCTTTTGAGTAAAGTGGACAAATCAGATGTTGTTATACTTGCTGACGACTTTGATACACGTGTTGGTCGCCTGCTTAGACATGGTCGCCACCTTGGAGGCCAGCACGCGCTTAACGAGAGACGCACAGATAATGGAGACCGGGTTCTCACATTGTGCAACCACCATTTTCTCTCCAGCGCTGATTTCGAGCATAACAGCAGACATTCCGCAACCTGGTGTTCTCCATCATCAACGCAGTTCTGGTCCCAGATTGACCCCTCGCAATCACTTTCGGTTGGCGAGGCAGTATACAAGACTGCAGGTCATTTTGGTCAACCTGTCTTGTTTCAGATCACGCACTGATTTGTGCGAACATCTGCATGCGCTTTGTTGGACCATGGAAACAACCTCACCGTAAAATTGACACAAACATGTTAGTTGATCCCTCTGACCAACTGAGCTGCCAATCTGCGCTGTCGGATGCTCTCACCTGTATTCCACCTCAGGATGTTGAGCAACATTGGGCTTGTTTGCACGAAGCGATGCTTTCCTCTGGTCAATCGCTTCGTGGTCTCACCCAACACTGTTTGAAAAGTCGGATCTTCGGTCGCTTGCTAGAACTGTTGGAGCGCCCTCGAAAAGTGCCACCAGCTCATACGCCAGACTCTCATTAGGTCATTCAAACAAAGCTTGCTTAACGACCGCGAGACTTGGTGGTCTCAGCGCGCCTCGGAGATGGAGACCACTGCTCTCTCTGGCAATTTCCGCAAGCTCTTCCAGCTCATTCGGTTCATTGACCCCCAGGAAGCCTGATGTCAGCGAAAATCTCTGTGAATCGAGTGAGTCACGAATCAGTAACCTGCGAAGACGCGTTGAGTGTTGGACTGAACATTTGCACACCCAATTCAATCCCTATCCATTGTCCGCTTGTATGCCACGTACACCCAATTGTTTGCCTTTGATTATTTCATTGGAGCCACATAACAAATCGCAGGTTTTCGTCGGAATTCGACACCTTAAGAGATTCAATGCTCCTGGCTCGGACGAACTTCATCCGAAGATGCTCAAGTTTTTCGGCCCAGCACTTGTCACGTGGTGGAAACCGATGTTTTCCAAGATGTGACAAGAAGCAAAGATTCCATCCTCCTGGAGTGGGTCAGTAATTGTCCCTATTTTCAAGTAAGATGCTCGCACATCCTGTGCTAATCATAGGTGAATCAGTCTCACGCCGTTTGCTTCCAAGCTGCTGGCATCCATACTGCTCCACCTACTATCCCCGATCCGGGAGTTGTTTTACTGGAATGAACAAGCTGGTTTTCCTACTGGTCGATGATTCGCGTTACGCCAAATCCTAGAACGCCGCCATCCTTACCACAGGCCAGCTATTGTCGTCTTCCTGGACATTGGACCTGCATTTGACTCATTTGATCGGGCTGCTTTATGGCAGATGGATTCCCCAAAAAGTAGACTTCCACCATTCATGAACTGTACTGCCTCGTGTCACGTTAGGGGAGGGTCGATGACAAGCCCACGTTACCTTTCACTATCTTTAGTGGTGTGCGGCAGGAGTGAAGAGAACTGGAGGTAATATCACTATTTGTCTTAATTCCTCTTCGCCTTTGCAATTGTAGACGTCCTGTTGCAATCTGGAAGGCTCCCAATGTCTTGGTGTTGAACTAATTCCTGCTGTCGCGTGACCAACTGGGATTACGCTGATAATATCACTCTTCTCTGTGACAATTCAGAGAGTGTACTGCACCCTTTGAACCATCTGGCGATTGAAACGTCCAGGTGTCATTAGCTCTTTTCTCCCTTAAAAGGTAACGTGTTATTCTAGGACGGGAAGTCGTCTGCCTCTTCACTTACCATTGTAAGAACACAGCTGGAGCTTGTAGAGAAATTTGTTTACCTCGGAAGCTGTATTTTGCTGTTGACCCTATTGGGAAAGAGCTATCTCTTAGCATCGCCAAAGCCCGGTCGGCATTTACCAACCTGAGTCATTTGTGGTGTCGTCCAGTCATATCCCTCTCCTTAAAGGGGAGGGTTTTACGTCGATTGTGTATGGAAGTGAGTTCTGGGCGATTGGTGTGCATGACATGCGTAAGTTTTCGATCTTCGATAGCGCATGTTTGCGGCGGATAGCCCGTGTGTGATGGCCGCACCGAGTTCACAACGATGAAGTTCGGTGTCACGTCTTGAGAAACGTGAGCCTTCCGCTTGTTCGTCTTATCGCAGTGCGTCAATTTAGATGACTTGGCCACGTTCTACGTATGTCATAGGAACGATTACCACGCCGCGCCTTTCTTTGTTCGCATGTTATTGAATTGGAAAAGAAAGCTTGGAGGTCAGTCAACCACTGGACGTCAAACCATGAAATCGCTGCCCTCCTGTCTCGCAATCGTTGACCCAGTACGGCTTCTTGGTTGGGTGCCCCAGCATGAGAACTTCCAGTGGCTCTGTCTATTTGGGGACAGTTGCATATATATATATATATATATATATATATATATATATATATATATATATACGGGTTTTGAGTAGTTGTACTTTCTGAAGAGGAACGCAAGTTGGTTTGCTTTCAACGAATCGTGAGTGTTTTAAGGCTATGTTCAAAAACATGCCATTGCGGTCCGGTTTGACTTTAATCATTCTGCTTCGTGCGGTTTTAAGGTGGATCGGACAGCACTGATAGCTGGGAGTGCTAATTTTCGCTGTACTTACTAATTTGGTGACGATAGGAGGTTGGAATGTTAAGATTTATTCTGGATAGCGAATTGGTATTGACAGGTGGATCCGAGATGTCGCAAGACAGTCGATTTGGCGCTTACCATGGAGCTTTCGAGGTCTTCTACTGGCTGTTTTCATCGTTCCAATGATGTTTTGTTTAAGCTGTTTAGTTGATTTGGACGCGCCGTAATTTTAAGCATCTCAGCCTTATTGCCAAGGATGCATCGAATTTTGTCTACTACGTATCTGTCTCTCGTCACACGCATATTTCGTGATGTCATCCATTGTTTCGCGTAGCAACTCCTGGCTTCTTTGTTGCGACAGATGCCTTGGTGTGCCGCAGTCGATGTGCTCGAACTGTAATAAATCATTGACTGTGTTATTGGTGTTTTCTCGCTGTAATCTTACAGCAGTTAATCATCTTTTGTTTCCCTATCCAGATCAGCGCCCCCATTCATGTGATCTCTGCGACAGGTCGTTTGCTAATAAATCCACTTTGCGAACGCATGTCGAATCAGCTCACCTTGGTGAGTGTGTGATAGCGTCATTTAATTTCCATTTTCATTTAACGCGTGTGACCATATTGCGTATTTTTGGTTTAACAAACAGTGTGCTACGTTTCTCATGTTGTAGTATTCACTGTCCAGGTGCATGGTAGTCCAATTTCGATATCCACTATGAGGATATGAAACGAATGATCCCTTTGAATCGTGTGGCCGGGATGATCGTGATCTACTCCATAGATCCTTGTTTCGACTGTGTCCCACATTCTATTCACCTAGCGATCACTCCAACCATATCAACACTGAGTCCCCATCCGCTGTGACTTACGTTTTTCGCAGACATTGGTAATGTGATTACAAAGACTCAAATCAGTTATCTCGTCTTCCCCGGTCCGATTCCCGCGGTTTGATTTTTTCTGTTCGTATTCCATTTGCTACTGATTGAGTGAAATTGCATTAGAGTGGACACACATCTTTTCGTGGCAGACGTCTGTGACTCTAAAGCCGAGTTACTGATTTTGGCACGCGTATTGATGTCTTCTAGGTATTTGTATAGGGTGCTGTTATCCTTGCTTAGCAATGTGGTGTAGACTATGCACTCCATCTCCGCCAGCAAGCGATTTCGCGTTCGGATGTGCTTTTGGCTTGAATCAGTGGGAAATGAGACTTCTATCGGAAGCTCTCATCTCTTATCCGTATGTGAAAAACACTGACATCTAGCTTGTTGCTGGTGTGACGAATGCCTAGCTTACTCTGAGCGTCCCTTGGGGCTAGGTGCGTTTCATAGTCGATGCACGCCGCGAAGGTACTTTCGGTTTATTGCTGCAGCTATGCACTGGTCTTGATCATTATCACAGCAACACTGTTTCCCAACACAAAGATTTCTGTTCTGTCTCCTTGTACCCGCTGAACTCCTCAACGCCCACTGGCCGTCAACTACGGATGGTGCATGTCGGTCCAAGACTGTTGGTCAATTTGTGGAGTATTTGACTGGATTCCGAACACACTCCTATGGCACTCGCTCTTCCCGCTTCAAATTGGCTTTCAACTGCCATGTTGTTCACTTATCATTTCCACTTGGCATCTGTCTGAATCGTCTTTTGGTCTAGCATTACGCCGTATCCGCTGTACATCGCCGCTGCCGTTGTGGATGTGTTCATCGTTTCTGTGTTACAAGGTATCAACATGATTAACATACCCGCGAAACGTCGGGAACTTGCTGCCAACATTTGGAGGATTCGGCTTTACATCAGTATTAAGCTATTCAAGATGCCGAAATATTCCGAGTATATCAACACAGAGGCGAAATTAAGTCCACGTCTCTGGACCACCGTTATTTGCTTGACATACTTACGCCCATAAATTTCCTCAGCCTTCGAATGACGGCATCCCTCGAGGCAGTTCTTCCTCTACGCCGTTACATTGTTTTGTCGCAGTGTTGTACAAGTCTTATACAGTCCAATCTCCTATGGCGGCCACCTGGCTGTGGCAAGCAGCCAAAAACATCCCCAACGTTTTCTTTTATGAGTAATGTCCCTATGCATGAGCCTATCCAAGGCGACCACTTTTTGTCGGTCCTTTGAATGGTTGCCTTAGATTGGTTTGACCTTATATGCGCATTTATCCGATCATGCTGATGTAGTCGTATCTTGCGTATTCGGGTATTGCAGCTTATTTACTTATTTATTAATTTAGCTTTTCTTTAAGTTTGGGGCAGTTACTGACTCTCTCGCAAAATAGGGGAACTTTTTTGTTCCTGTCATTTTTTCGGGAATATGGGGGTTAACTGATTGGCAACTGCCATGTCACTGTGTTTGAACAGTTCTGAGGAATTTGGGCGGATCCTAAGATAGACCTCCTCTTCGGTTGGTAGTTTTAGTGACACTGCCCATGGCATGCGACCGGGTGTGCTAGGTGCAAGTTGAACGGAGAGGCGCTAGTGTACTGCGATTTAAATATGCTCAGCCTATCTGTCTATGCGTCTCTGCAACTTCATCATCATCATCATCATACACGTTAGCTAGAGGTGGGGAACACCTCAGCTACTGTGCCGCAATACAAAGAAAAAAAGGAGAGAAAAAAACAACTGGTGAAAGCTGGCTGAGCTACCGGTAACGGATGGGCATCGTTCCGGTAAGCTACCTGCCGGCTGCTGTGCGCCCAAAAAATTATTACGCAAAATTATATAAGGCTAAGTAGTGAGATCGTGGTTGGAGGGGGAGGCTAAGAGGGATGGGGTGGGACAAAGAAACTCACAGCACGAACGCCACTGCGGTCGGCTCCTAGCCATATCAGCAAGTGTGTCCAACCAAACGTGTTCATCGTCTTTCGGACCCCAACCAGGGAGCCGAGACGCTCCAACCGAGGCCAGGTCAGAAGTGAGGGTCTTCATTCCTCTGGACCAAGTCATCGCTTGACCACCTCTCCTCTTCTTCCATCCACACCCCCGGCGCGCAAACAACACACGTCGCGGAAGTCGGTGGGCTGGCATGCTTAACACGTGGCCGAGCCATCGGAGCCTGATGCGTGAAATAACGGTGCTGAGCGGTTCATTTCCATTTCCTGTGCCATAAACAAGGCGTCGAACACGCTGGTTGCTCACGCGGTGTTCCCACCAAATAAGAGCTAAATTACGAAGGCACCGGTGGTCGAACGTAACTAGCCTCTTCAGGTCCGCTGCTTTAAGCGGCCAGGTTTCACAACCGTACAATAGGGTCGAACGTACTGCTGCATTGTACACTCTACCCTTCAGGACAAGAGTGATGTCGCGCCGACCCCAAAGTGGCGAAGGTTAGCAAAAACGCCCCGAGCTTTTGCTATACGGTTCCTGATCTCATCTTCAATCCCACGGGCGCTGATACAACTTCCCAGGTAGTTGAATTTTTGAACGACTTCTAGCTGATCCCCACCAACGGTCAGCGTAGGAGGCGGTCCAGACCAATCTTGGAGAAATGCTTTGCACTTCGAGGGTGCGAAGCAAAGCCCGGAGTGACGGACAGCTAGTGCTAATCTGTCCAGTGTCGCTTGGCACGTTTGTGAGCTGTCACAGATGAGGGCAATATCATCAGCATACTCTAAATCAAGAAGTCGTTCTCCTGGGAGTAGCTCCACACCTTCTAAGTCGTGTCCTGTAAACGCGGTTTCCATGACTTCGTCAACAGCGAAGTTGAAGAGGAAAGATGACAGCGGGCATCCTTGTCTCACGTCGCTGGAGATATTAAAGGGCGATGACAACTTGCCGCAAGCCCTCACTCTCCCCGAGCTACGCGCATATAATGCTCGGATAATATTCACATATTTCTCAGGTACACCTTTCCTGAGTAGACAGTCCCAAAGTGCATCTCTATCCACCGAATCGAATGCACCTTTGATATCGAGGAACACGACAACGGTGGGCCGCCAATATATGTGACGGTGCTCCAACAACTGACGCATGGAGAAGATGTGGTCAATGCAGCTACGACCTCGACCTCTGCAACTTAATGATTTACGATCCGTCCACTTCACAGAGGGCTGCACTAATGTCTGGCGCTTTGTGTCCGTGGGTTCGAATGGGGATTTCCGTTGTGCGGCAGCCTCCATCTCTAGGCACGTTTGGATCGCCAGACTTCCAGATCGTGGCGAAGGAGTTGTTTGAGGTGTCGGTTGACAATGCGGCCAAGTTCATTGTGGTCTGTGTTTAGCGGGTTCGGCGGTTGTCGAACAGTGCCATGGAGCCCGCAATCACCCAACTCTTCAAATGGTAGTAAACTAATCCACAGAATGATTGTCCTGCATTTAGCATTGCTTGCTCTTGAAGCACAACTGGTGTTCATTGCCGGAGGGTGGAACACATGATTTTGTTGCGATACTTCAGTTGAGCCGACTTATCGGTTAGTCTGTTCCTACGGAGTATGCTATGCAAGTCCAGAACTCCCCACGTTCTTAGACGCTGCGGCTGATTGTTGTCGATAAATCGTCCACATAACAAACGAGACTTGTCCATATGGACAGTATTTTGTGATACTCAACCTGCGGGCCCACTTATGTGATACACTTCTTCAATGCGAACTTATATCATCTTCCCCATTAACTTACTAGACTCATGGAGTGAGTGATAGAGGTTATATCATCATATGATTTTACAGCACCCTTTGACCGGAGTCCTGTAGGCGACGAAATGTGGCATTTCCGTCATTACCAGCGAACAAGATATCAGTATTCTTCGCCGAGCCGATAAGAGATAAGTGATGTATATGAATTCACTTTGGTATCATCTTGTGTACAGTTGGTTGGGCGTTAAACGGAAACGATGAGATGACAGTCGCTTCAGACGATGTTCAAATGTTTCGGAAAACTGATCGTTTGGGTCGATAATTCAATTGCTCATTTGTTCGCCGAGCTGGAAAATTTGTTTGCAAACGTTTCACCGCCATGCAAGACGGCATCATCAGTGCGTCGATATGTTGAATGTACTCTTGCTGATTATATTGTCAATCCGTGATCGGCGTGTAGGGGACTTTTCGAAAGTGACGGCTTCGATCTGTGTCCCGTGATCTCTACCCATTTCCCCGTGGCGGAAGTCGTCGCTCGGGTTGTTCATATTCAAGCGCCGTCTCATAAGTTCTCTAAGTTCTCTCCGTCGGAGGGGTGGGTAAACTGGGTCAATCTCGATATGCATGTTGATCGAGTCTTTTGTTGGGAACCACGCTTCCAGGAACTCCCTTGCTCTTCTTGTTTCACCTCGTGCCAGGACTTCTGTTTTGGCCCAATCAAAGCTGTGCTCTTTTTCATCCACGTGTGCTGAGACTAGCGATGATGCATAGTGTCTTTTGCATACTCTTTTGTGCTCTTGTAATCGTGTTGATAATTTTTATCGACTTGGCCAACATAGTCCTTTTCGCAATTTCTACAACTTAGCCTGTACACAACATTACTTTGCTCATGAGCCTCCAGTTTCTTTTTCGGTCTCGACAGAATTTTCCTCAATGTTGCATTTGGTTTGTGTGCTACGATGAGGTGATGTTGTTTGAATAGTCTTGCTGCCATTTCGGATATATTCTTCATATAAGGTAAAACAACGCGTCTCTCCGTCGGTGTAGATTGTCTGTTTGGTTTGTTGTAGTTCAGACACCTTCGGATGAAGCTTCGCGGGTATCCGTTGAGTTGGAAACCTTTAAATAGATGCTTCTCTTCTTGTTGCTTGGCCTCCGCGGTACTGCAGTGGGTTTGCACTCTATCAAATAGTGTCCGCACACAGCTTACTTTGTGGTATTTTGGGTGGTTACCGTTAAAGTTCAGAATCTGTTCCGTATGTGTCCATTTTCTGTAAACTGATGTTTGCAACCTCCCTTCCATGGTTCTGGTTACTAGTACACCCAGGAAAGGCAATTGCTTTTCCTTCTCCATTTCCATCGTAAACCGGATATCTTCAATGGCGTTGTTCAATGGCTGCTGTGCGACTGTAACTTGATTGCGTTTGATGGTCACAAAAGTGTCGTCAACATATCGGACCCACAGTTTCGGAATAATGAGTGGGAGTAAACCTCCCTCCAATTTCTGTATCACCATCTCCGCGATGAGTCCCGATATAAATTATCCCATTGGCGCGCCTTTCAATTGTTCGTAGATCTTCCCGTTGAAAGAGAAGTAGGTTGACACACACAACTGGAGTAGCTTGCATACGTTTTCGGTCGTTAGGTTCCCGATTGGTTGTTCACTGCTGTTCAGGCGTTCTGTGATGACTGTTGTTGCCATTTGTAAGTTTACAGACGTAAAGAGGGCAGTCATGTCGAAAAATATCATTGTTTCATCATCATTTATTCTCAGGTATTTGAGCTTTTGTAGAAATTGCTGGGCATTATTAATGGAATATTGCGATCCACGGGTCAGGTGTTCGAGGTGTCTCCACATTTCTTTCGCCAAGTTGTAGGTGGGTGTTCCTGGTAGTGGCACGATCGGTCGTAATGGTGCATCATCTTTGAAATGACTTGAGCAACGCGTCTTTTCCGGTATCAACTTAGAAAACAAAGCTAGACCAGGATATGGCATTGCTTACCAAGCAACTTAAAAGCGAACTGATGACAAATCTTGACACTGTACTTCCAACGCAAATCTGTAGCAGAGGCTTGTAGTTTGTTCAAAATAGTCGGCAAGCGTGGCATGAGAGGATGCGTACGCAGGATAACGGCTGCTGTATTCCCGACTTTTCATGCGACAACTCGAGCAACTTTAACAGCCACTTATCCTGGGGCTGCGGAGTAATGGGTTCTACTCACGATGTCTTTTCATTTTAATCATACATTAGTATAGATCACCAATAGTAGGATGGTTTGTGTTGTAAACTATCAGGGTTCCATGATAAAAGCGCATGAATACAAATGGGTACACGACGAATGCGCTCACGCAAATATGCTAGCTCGATCTTTCGGCACATATATGACTGCCGCTCGCTTATTGTAGTCTGCCGAACTCACAGCCATTCGTCGGCTGGAACGCACTTGCTCTCAACCGTTCGACGTTGGGGACCACATCCTGCTGAGTGGGATCCTGACTGGCATCAAATGACCCTTAATCGCCACGGTATGATCTATGGTATTGTGCATAGTTATAAATGCCCGCACCGGAAAATCTGGCACAGCAATTTTATAGCACTCCTGATATTTCTCTGATTCGCTTGAGTTCGATGTGTGACATGGTACTCGAACTTACTTCTTCGGTAGCACACGCTCGTCCTTAGCATACAAAGGTAACACATCACAGCTGCATGTCAACTGCATTTACCACGTAGGCAACAATTCACTTTTCTAGTTAACTGAACCACGCTCATCATCACCGAAGTAGACACATCAACCACTTCAACCAGTTTACAGGAATGTCGTCAGACTCACGATGAGATTTTTTTCCAACTGAATTGATCCTCCAGACGACAAAACAAGTGGGAAGCCTGGAAGTGATGTGCTTCTTTTCGGTGAAAATACTGAGCGACATGCCTGTGTGCTTTAGACCATGGTCAGGATCCAGGTTCATACTCCAGATTGACCGACAGACTTGAACCGATATGCGCCACGTCTATCTAGCTGAGGCTTCGTCAAACTGCTGTGGGCGAGCAGTGCTGTCTGTTGAATATCCTAAGTGAATCACGGTATTGTTGGCACGTTCAGCAAACACCCAGCAAGCAGTGTGCACAATTTTTGCTTCTCGCACAGTGAACTGTTTTCAGGTAAATTTGTGGCGAATCACACTCCATGAGGCTTGAAGTAAAGCGACTCAGAAATAACTCATAAGCCGACTGCACCAAATTTGCAACTTAGCCGCATGTACATCAGCCAATGAGATTGGTAAGCATTTCCTCACCTATCGACCATTCACGTCACCATAAGTCGAAATGGGTGCCATAAGTATGGGAAAGGCTGTATTAATTCGGAACTGAACATGGATAAAGTGAATAGATGTTTTTGACTTAATCCAGATCTACCCTTTTAATCGGCCATAAGTCGTCAGCGTGCGAAGAATACCACGACTATGGTTGATCTTGCATCGTCAGCTTACTTGACTGCTCGACACAGGATGTGAGTGATCGCCTGTCTGCAATCTGATCTTACGCGCAGCCGGTCTTCGATTACATTTGTGACGCTTGCAGAACTGCCACCACAGCGAATTTAAAGGATACCTGTGAACTATGTGCTACTTTCTCTGCGTCATGGACTGGATGGAAATTCGATGGAAAAATGGCGTATATCGTGCGCTGGAAAAAATACTATTGGAGGCCAAGTTACGCACCAACGTGAGCCTTTAAACTCGGACAAGTTCTCACCGTGAAATCGTTGGTGATATTGAACCCGTGTAGCATGTTGATAATGCTTAAGTATCACGTTACGGATCTGTTCTTGATGAAATGCTTGAAAAAAACACTTCACAATTCTTCGTACACATTGAACCGGGTGCATGGGAATCATTTTATTTCGATGCGTTTACTCACGCTGAGACCGCAAAATCTCAGGCGGCAGTGACCAATCGGCAAATTCGTCGTCCTTAGCATTCTGGAGATGAAGAAAGTTCAACTAGACGTGATGTGTATGGAGTAATTATTCACTATATGTTGCATCCGAGAGATGAATGATGCTGCACATCAGATGCGAACGGAACAATTTTTCGGTTTGTCTCGCAATGCCTGGCAGTTCTTCTACAGTTCTGCGACGGTTGTGCTTTCCAGTGATTGCCTTTACGAAGCAGGTGAGGTGCCTACCGTATTCTTCATCTCTAACTACTAGAAGTGTGTCAGAATATATCACATCTGACCTGGGGCATTACATTAGAATGAAGTGGTGATTAAGTGTAGGCGCCCCGCACTCCATTAGCCATCGATTTCCGGCTCCGTGATGGCCGTACATCAACAGCCGTTAGTTTGCATAGAGAATGCTGTGGTCCGGTAGTTCTGCTCATGGTTAAGCTACACGATTACGATTATGTTTCTATTCTAACAGATTATCCACTATTCTGTAGGTGAGTTACTCTTTTGCCTAATTTGTGACTATACACTTTATGTTCCGTAATTCAGCACTGCGCCCCTATACATGTGAACAATGTGGCAAATCGTTTTCTCGGATGAGTAATATGCGAATGCATCACAAGTCCGTACATCTGAGTGAGTGTTTTATTTATAATGTCAATTATATTTTGCTTTACCGCCTGTCATCATTGATGAGGTATTTAGCCGGTTTGCTCAGCCATATTGCTTGCAGCACCTCCTGGTTTGTTGTTCTCACTGTTCGGAATTATGCGGTGTTCAAATTTTCTAAATGACCATTGTGTTTAACGCTCTTTCGCAAGACTTTCGTCAATTTCAAATGCATTGTTGCTTGTCGGTTCACACCTAAGTGATTCGTAATCCAAATTGTGATTGCTTGTGTCACCCCATTAACACAACTGCCACTGCGAGCAAGCCAACAATGATTTCCCTGTGCGATGTGATATCTGTCTTCGGTAGAATTTGCTCGTGTGGTGGAGAAGACATCGACCGACTATTTCTGCTTTTCCGATTGGAGTCCGATTTCGATTTTCCCTAGCTGAATCCTGGGAAAGCACGCGGAACTGGGGACGGGTAACAACGAACATTTACTCACATCACGTTCATATACTTCTGGTCGTCTTTGGATTCGGTGTTATGAAGCTGTTACAATGCAGAGTAGGGCAAGCTTCCCCGCCTTACAGTTGGCAGAATTCAGCTTCCCCACTAGTTGTCGGTGATATCCATCTAAGAGCTTGGCTGACTGCGCGGACGACCACAAGACGCCTCCACCTATGCATGAACTACGAGCGACTCGCCATACGACTTCGTAGGATGTTAACAGGTTATGCGAATGTGCGTTACGATTGCTTAGAAGTTAGCCTGTGCCTCTTCGAGACGCAAACCCTTGGGATTCGAGCGTACGCATGTGCATAGATCAATGGCTTCACCCCAGGTGAATGCTATAAGGAAGCTGGCCTTTTAGCTCAGCTTGGCGAGGAACAGTGGATTTAACACGAATATAAAAGCAAGCACAACAATTTTCCGTAGGTGGATTCTTATGCATTAAACAATTACATCTAAACATGTATGTAAGCGTACCTTTCACTAGTTTCGATTGCGTGTTATATCCTGACATTTTCCAAGCCATTGGCACTCCTCATCCCTTGGTCTCCAATCAGGCAGATGAGTGTATCCGACGGCAGCAAGACTTAAAGTTGACGATTACATATGCTGTCACTATGTGGACGACTGACTGCCATGCGGTCTCTTCCAGCCAGGTCCTGCATGAGTGAAAAAGCGCAATGGTGCAAACGCTCAACTGAGATCCATAGGACGTGACTGAGCCATCTTAACTGAGGCATCAACATCAGCTTATTGAAGAGAATACTCGCATTCCCAAAACCACGACATACGACTTCACCGTTTAAGATAAGCTGTTCCAACCACACACGAGCAATCTTCCTCATGCACCCATTATCGAAGGCCAAGAGCAAGCGTACGGCATCTACCCAAACTGGCCGCGATTCGCTTCCATATAGCAATACCGCCCGAACGGTGACACTGTAAACGCGACCCTTTACAAGAGGTAATCTTAATGGACTCGGTTTCTCGGTACCAGGAGGAATATACCTTATTAGTATCATCATCATTATACACGCTAACTGCAGGAGGAAAACGCCTCAGCCATTGTACCGTAATACAAAAGAGACAAACGTGCAACAATGGTACGCCGACTGAGTCACCAGTAACGAATAGGCATCGTTTTGGATAGCTGATAACCGGCTATTGTGCCACAAAAATGTTATATTATGCCTAATAAATCATATCGTGGTTGGAATAGAAACTTAAGCGAGAGCGACAAAGAAACGACACAAACCTCATTGAGGTTTGCTCTTAGCCATGTAAACTGGCGTATCCAGCCAAACGTGTTCATCGTCTTTCGGACCCCAACCAGGGAGCCGAAACGCTCCAACCGAGGTCAACTTCGAAGTAAAGGTCATCATTCCTCTTGACCAAGTCACCGCTTGGCCACCCCTCCTCTTCTTCCATCCGCACCCCCGGCGCACAAACAAAACAAGTCGCAAAAGTCGGTGGGCTGGCATGCACACGTGGCCCAGCCATCGGAGCCTGGTGCGTGAAATAACGGTGCTGAGCGGTTCGTTTCTTCTTCCTGAGCCATAAACAAGGCATCGAACACGCTCATTGCTCACACGGTGTTCCCACCAGATATGATCCAAATTGCGAAGACACAGGTGGTCAAACGTAACTAGCTTCTATATATCCGCTCATCTAAAGGGCCAGGTTTCACAACGGTACAGTAGGGTCTATCATACGGCTGCATTGTATACTCTACCCTTCAGGGAGAGAATGATGTCACGCCGGCGCCGTAGGTGGCGTAGGTTAGCAAAAGCGCCTCGTGCTACAGTTATTCGGTTCGTGGCCTTGTCTTCAGTTCCAACGACGCTGACAAAACTGCCTTGGATCTGCGCTGGAGGTGGTCCCTGCCATTCCTGGTAGAATTCCTTGCAATATGATGGTGCAATGCATGGCCGAAACGGTTGACAGTCAATGCTACTCTGCCCACCACCGCTGAACACGTTTGGGAGCTGTCACAGAAGATGGCATGATCGTCAGCATACTCTTAATCAAGAAGTCGTTCACCTGGGAGCAGCTCCACACCTAAGTCATGTCCTGTGAACGCGATCTCTATGACTTCGTTAATAAGTTGTATAGGAAGTGTGACAGCGGGCATCTTTGTCTTACTCCGCTTTAGTATGGAATTGCGGTGACAGTTTGCTCTTAGCCGTCACTCTATCCGAGATACGCGCTTAAAGCACTCGGATAATTTTTACATGTTCTCGGGCGAAACTTTCCTTAACGGGCATTCCGAAAGGGTACCTCGATCAACGGAATTCATGGCGTGAGTGCGAATGTTCGGGTCGCTGTGCATCCAGGTTATCTTGCCTGACCGAGGTCTGTGATAACTTCTCGCTTGTCGCTCGTGGGAAGTGCTTGATCCGCCTGTCGGTAGAGCTCGTGAAAAACGACAGCGTACCAAAGCATGAACACAGTCGCCGCAGGTAACTCAGGACGATTGACAGTCCAGTATGGAACTTTGACAGCTTTAACTTATGATGAAGTGATAAATTTGTGTCCACCGCTGGCCAGCTATTGGTATGTGTTGGGCGCCCACCATACCTGAAAGCGGTGCTAGTAAAAAACAGCCAGTGCTCGGTGCACCGACGCTCGTAGTCAGTCTATGCCTGCCACCTGAGCGAGCTTCTAAATAGTTCAGACGATCTACTTGCACTTTAAATTCCCATGCAACAATGGTTGGCGGCATCCGATTCTGGAGTTACCTGTCACTCTGTCATCCTTGTGCACAGTCGCAAGACGCCTGCGTCTAACTGGGGACCAAGGTTCGCTTACACTATACCGCCCCCTGCTCCATCCACGCACCCCATATCCAATGTAGACCAGGTGGAGTAAGACCGGGAGGCATGTGGGTGGTAGTCACGTTTCGTATAAGAGCCGGCCCACCCTCCTTCATCATGCACAGCGGCAGCATTCCTGTGAATCTAGTTGGGGAATCTTGCGTACCTGACGTACACACGGCATTAGCTTTTCGGTATCCCGCTCCACACTGGATTCATGGAACCACTCTTGGAGCCTAGCACAGCCATGAAGACGGCGCACCCCATCCTATCCTGCAACGTTTCACATTCCTCTGAAGGCAGTATATGACGATGTGGAGGATTTTCTGCAGGTTAGCATCTTGTTTACCTTCACGCGCAGCGCAACCACTCCGAAGATCTTAACGAACAGCCACTATCTGAATTGCAAAAAGCTCAATACGCACGCACACGTACAGATCAAATTTAACTTTGAGGTGGCACACGTGTCAGGTCCACCGCCTTATTGGCCTGTGTTAGTAAATTAAATCGAAAGCAGTCAACTTACCAAGCGCTGTGCTTATGATGACTACATACTTGGCTTATTCGTCTTCTCCTAGATGTTGGCCCAATGTGGCCACGCTTATGGCTTACCAGGCCGATTTGGCTGAAGCATTCGCGACCGCATGTGCTACAATACAATGCGCCAGATGTTGACGGACTATCCACCATCAACGCCTGTCGCTTCCTCAACCGATGTTTCTTTCCCGTATGCAGTTGTGACTTCTCATGCACCTGGGCAACCGCTTCCTTGATATACTGTCGCCACCGGCGGCGATCCACTGACATCGTTTCCCAATATCTGCACTCCACATTAGTTCGTGATAAACTCACCGTGATCATGTCCTGGTACCGTTTCTCCGGTTTTCCCACGTGCCTGTTTCCTACACCCAGTAGCTATATAGCAACTGTTTCTGTATATTTGTGGAATTCATACGGCGAACATGCCCGAGCCAGCTCAGGTGCCTCAGTTATGGTATGAAGTCCAATGCGCACATGTAGCTGCTTCGGAGCACGTCCTTGTTTACAACACGGTCACCCAACCGATGCGCATAATACGGTACAGACACTGCTGATATAAGCGCTCCAGATAACGGGCATCCGATAAAGCGTCCAGGTTTTGTTGTCGTATAGAAGAACAGACCATAGCCTTGTAAACCATCAGCTTCGTTCCGACAGTGAGCTGGTGATTGTTCCACACGTTTTTCCACCTTGCCAAATGCAGCAGCCACCTTCGATACGCGCATTTGCACTTCTCTCGTCATCTGCGGGTGGGTAGACATTACGCTGCCTAGACAACGAAATTTCGAGGTGGATTCCAAAATGCCCTTGCCTGTGTGGCTTTGCGGCAGGCGCAAAGGTACCACTTCGGACGAAAGCTGAGAAGGACAAACAATCTTGCTTTTACTCATGGTGAGCCCGGATTTGGCCACTATCGAGGCGAGGGGTAATGTCATGTACTGTAACATCCGCGCTGTGCACACAACACACAGTTGTCAGCAAACAGCAACATGCGGATGTTTGTCTCATACACTAAGGTTCTGGACCCGAACCGACGGAGGTTCAGCAACCCACCAACAATACGGTGCTCCACACAGACACTGTAATCACAAGTAGCATCAAAAGCACATGGCATCATTGCATGTAGATTAATACTAAACAGGGCATGAGCTAAAACACCCTTGATTCACTCCAGAGACAGCAGCCAAGTCATTTGAGGTTTTCTGTGTTGCTGTCTCCCATCTCTGCACTCTACGACCGACGGTTTCGTTTTGGTTTAGGCTCATCAGACAGAGATAGCCGAGCTGGGATGGGAATTCCACGCATAGTACGTGGCGGCTATCGCCATGATCACTAGGCCATTGTGCTCCGCGAGCAGTGCTTGACACAGCGGTGACAGTCCAAGTGATCGTATTGACAGAGGCTGACTTCAAAGTCAACCGAGGTCACGATTGAGATTGCATGTCTCAATCCAAGACATACGGCGCGTGATCCAAAACCCGAAAATCATTCGTGATTTATCTACTCAGCTGCTCCCTCGCCTACATACAATTGTGCAGACATTCAATTAAACTTACTCGAATAACCAACCTTACCCAACACCAGTCACTGTTCCTCACGGTTCATCGGATCAGTTGCCTTGGTAAAGTCAACAAACAATGGCTGGTATCGCTCTCGGCATTTGTCCTGCAAGTGACGAGCAGCGACCATCATATCGATGGTGCTGCGGCCCGAACGGAACCCGCATTGCTCTTCCCCACGTTCGGTTCAGCGACCTTAGTGACGACGCGGTTAAGCAAGTTTCGTGCGATCACCTTCCCCGCATAACTCAGCAAGTCGACACCACGATAATTCGTGGCACATTACTTGCTCCCTTTGCCCTTGCACAGTTGTATCGCAAGGGCATCTTTCAACTGGGAGGAAACATATTCTTCAGGTCACACGTTGCACAAAGTGGTACGGCGCATGCATCAAAACGGCTCCGCCGTGTTTCAATACTTCAGGTGGGATTCCGTCGGACCCCACACACTTGCCGTTTCGCAGCTGAGCCAGTGGTCTCTGCGTCTCATACTGTGTTGGTGTGTCTGCATAACACGCCTTCATCTGGTATTGCAGTCCGTGCAACATAGCCCCGTAAGCGCCGTTAGAATTGAAGGCGAGGTCGCAAACCGTATAACAATAGCACGAGGCGCTTTTGCTAACCTTCGCCACCTGTGGCGCCGGCGTGACATCATTCTCTCCCTGAAGGGTAGAGTATACAATGCAGCCGTACGGTAGACCCTACTGTACCGTTGTGAAACCTGGCCCTTTAGATGAGCGGACATATAGAAGCTAGTTACATTTGACCACCTGTGTCTTCGCAATTTGGATCATATCTGGTGGGAACACCGTGTGAGCAATGAGCGTGTTCGATGCCTTGTTTATGGCGCAGGAAGAAGAAGCGAACCGCTCAGCACCGTTATTTCACGCACCAGGCTCCGATGGCTGGGCCACGTGTTGCGCATGCCAGCCCACCGACTTCTGCGACTTGCGTTGTTTGTGCGCCGGGGGTGCAGATGGAAGAAGAGGAGGGGTGGCCAAGCGGTGACTTGGTCAAGAGGAATCATGACCCTTACTTTGAAGTTTGCCTCGGTTGGAGCGTTTCGGTTCCCTGGTTGGGGATCGAAAGAGGATGAACACGTTTGGCTTGATACACCAGCTTACGTGACTAGGAGCAAACCTCAATGAAGTTTGTGTAGTTTCTTTGTCGCTCTCGCTTAACTTTCTATTCCAACCACGATATGACCTATTAGGCATAATATAACATTTTTGTGGCACAATAGCTGGATATCAGCTATCCGGAACGATGCCTATTCGTTACTGGTGACTCAGTCGGCGTGCAATTGTTGTATATTTTTCTCTTTTGTATTGCGGCACAATAGCTGAGGTGTTTTCCTCCTGCAGCTAACGTGTATGATACACTGAACGGTTGTTCAAACGACAGTAAAGTGTGTTCACCCATTCTACAATACTTTTGCAGTCTGTGTGTAGGCAGCGCCTAAGGTATCGTTCACCATCGTCTTCAGCGGCTGCAACGTGGATCCATGCACCGCCTTCAAGGATTCAAAGAATTCGTTGTGCTGGCACCGTTCGGCCTAGCATTCTCTCTGCTCCACCTTCGTCTACCATGCATTCCTAATGCGACGGAACTCTCGAATCAACCGCCGTCGAAGTTTACGAAAATGTGTCTTCTCTGTGTCAAACGGGTCGTACACACACACAACAAACGCTGAAATCTTCTCAACACCATTGCGCAAATGGTCGCACGGTTGTCATCAAACCATTCGGGCTGCTTACAGTTTCCGTTTCTGATCGTTTCCCTTGCATCAGTCGTCACCTGGTCACTTATGTGGTGCCACAGGTTGCTGACTGAAACAGTGGATTCGAAATCAACATGGCGGGTATTCATCATCTTCAGTTTCATCCACTTCTTATCCATACTTAAGGAAAACACGTTACTTTCTACTTATGCTCAGGGCCAAACTCAGCTCCACGCATTACACCTGTCATGCGCAACTCACGCATGTCACGCTGGCGTACGATGACATAATCTAGCAGTTTACGCGGGACCACTCCGTGGGTGTTTCCAAGTAGCTGTATCGCTCGCACACAGTGTAAACTGTGTGCCCGTGATCGCCATACGGTGAGTGGCGCACACTGGGAATAGCCGGTCATCGTTCCTATTGGCTGTGCCAATACCCTGCGGTCCGATTACCTCTTTCCACACCGCGGCATCACGTCCAACGCGTGGGTTAAAATCACCCAGACCATATCACGATGAATAACTGCGCGTAAAAGTGACCATCAGGATAACACATGGTGAGACCATTTGTGTTAATAAAAGTGGCAAACTTCCAAGTCGCAGTCGTAGTGGCATCAGTCGTGAGCTGATGCCGGTCGGCTCTGCCACCAGCTGGCCATTTAGGCGGTCGGATAGTTCAAATCCGACCCATGTTCACGTAATGCTGAGGTGGCGTTTCTCAACTAGTAGTGCTTGTAACCAGCACCAACCTCATGCGACTTGCCTCGCCCTACCCTAGTGAGGCTAGTGTCGTCTTCCTCTGACCGGGTCACGTGAACTCACCGATTTTCGACCGCTTTAACTTTGCGCCGATAACATTGCAACTTGATCGCCCTTGCTATGTAGCCTATCCTTTCCACAAATTGTTTGTAAACAGCTGAGGAGAACACACGAAATTACTGGAATAGGTATTTCGTGTTAAATGTGGTTTCTTCTTGCTGTTGTATTTGTTTAAGCGCATCGTTCCGCTAATTTTATTGGCTGCTTGTGGCCACTGATTCTGCCCTTGGATCTCACTTCCACTTGACTGCTAACGCTCTCTCTTGTTCATTGATCACTCTTCATTGGCTTCATTCCGCTTGCATGTCTTTGGCGATATGCTTGGCTCGAATGTCTTTTAGTTGCTTCCCTTCAGTCCGTTCTCCAAACTATTTAACCAGATATGATTCAATGTATACAATTCTTTCCCGGCTCCTCTTTGGAGTTCTTCTAACGGTCGTGAATCGAAGGTGTTCCCTGACGACACAACGCAAACACTCTGGGATTGCTCGTACATCGGCAAGCTGAAAGGTTTGCGATACTCTGAGAAACGTATCAGTGTAATCGTAGGTGGGCACCGGTGGACGATGGACTGGAAAAATTCCTGTTGAATTATCTTGCCCTAGATGGGTAGTCGCCAGCTGCGTGCCTCATGGGTCGAGAGTTGTGAAGCATTTTGAATTTATTGATTTAGAAGCGATCTTCAGTATGCTGTACAAGTACTGTCAAGTAGAACCAACACGGATTGGGAATTTCGTACTGAAGTCTTGGTATTCGATTTTTCTAAACAGTGATGTTGGCTCAGCTCGATGCCCGGACAAATGATGCACCGTCGGATTTGACGTCGTCATACTAAAAAACTTAAATCACGTTATATGGGGGTTCCTGGAAGGACAAATTTTAACCGATTTGCTATTAGTGAACCGTGGGATATCTCTGTGCTGAGTACCGCTGTCAGCTGTGAGTTTTGTCCGTTATGACGTTCGACAAATCTAGCCCAGTCAAACCTAAACCAAACGTGACGATTAGTGCAGCCTTCACAGGTAGACCGCCGGTCTTCGGTTGGAACGCATGATCGAAGTGATTATTTTCGTACATGTTGTCATTACTTTGAGCATTAACAGCTGTTGTTTCTTGTGGTTTACCCCACTTCCCACTGCGAATGACACTATCAGTTACCCCTCGTTGAACGCGTCTGGTTAGTGCTTTATGTGACGGTTCTCTCATTCGTTAACTCATTTCAGCTTTTTCAATAGTTTGGTTGCTGTTGACTGTTAACACACAACTGACTATCTGTGGATATTTTCCATGCCTAGTTTGTCTACACCTATCAACCTTCTTCATTGCTCAGATGAGCGCCCCCATGCATGTGAGCTCTGCGCAAAGTCGTTTGCGGAGAAGAGTATATTACGAAAACACGTCAAATCTGTTCATTCTGGTGAGCATGTGGCTGCTTGTCTCATTTTATTGTATTATTTCTTTATTCTTTTACTCTGGTCGACAATATCGCTTATCTTTGCTCGACCAAACAGTGCACTACTTTTCTCATGTTATGGCACTCACTACCTAGGGACATCTTATTTCACAGAATGTTTCATCTTCCACATCGACTACTGTGTTATGAAACGAATGATGCTGTTGGATCGTTTGTTCGGGCTGATTAACATCCACTTCATAGTAATTTAGGATCCTAGTTGGGCCTGTGAACCGCATTCCATTCACCCAGTTGTCTCTCCATCCAAAACTACTCTGACTCTTCAACCGTTATAGCGCGCGTTGTTCGCTGGTATCGGCGATGTAAATGTGTATGCTTCATTCAGCGGTCCTAACATTCTGCGTGCTAGTCCCTCAGTTCCGTTATGGCTACTCTATAGTGATTCGTTATGATAAGATGTGAAACTCTACTGTAGTACAGCTGGTCCACACCATTTGGGGACTGACATCTGTGGGGGCGGGGGGGAGCATTGTGCATGTTTGGCAACCGATTAAACAAAAGTCGTTTGAGTGAGGTCCTTCGCAGCCAGTTTCTAAATCAGATAGTCGTCCACATGCCCGGAAAAGCACTAGACTGCAGTTTCAGCCTGTTGGGCATCGTCAGTAGTGCGCATTCATCGGATCCATCAGGATTCGGACCCATGATCACCAGCGGCTTGAACCGCCAGTCAGCAGCTTATACCACTGGGCCACGGGAGACAGCTTCGGACCGTCATGGGTTCGAATCCTGATGTATCCGATGGATGCGCACTACTGACGATGCCCAACAGGCTGAAACTGCAGTCTAGTGCTTTTCCGGGCATGTGGACGACTATCTGATTTGGAAACTGACTGCGAAGAACCTCACTTAATTACATCAAAAATCCCCTACTCATGAGTACATCGAAAGTAGTTTGAATTGAACAGTTAGTCATCCTGCTTTTTGACATACGGAATTATCTCGACAACGTCATAAATGCCTCGAGTTGGCGAAAGCCCATCTGGCCTCCGCAGTTGTGCCGCTGGCAGAGATGCAGCTCCCAAGGTAGACAAAACTATCCAGGTTTTTAGGCTGTATGCCTGCGTTAGGTAACCTAGGATTGGGTGTGTCAATCCTTTAACGGCACCTGGAGGGTGCATCATCATCAATCCACGTTAGCTGAGAATGCAAAACACCTATCTAATGTGCTGCGATGCAAAAAGATACAATAATAAAAATCAAAAACCACAAACTAGTTCAAACTGCATGTACTACGGCTTACACATATTTTCATTTGGTATGAGATTGTTATTGGAGGGGAAATCTGAAGGTGAGGGGGATGGGCAAGGAAATTCACAAAACAAACGCCATTGTGGCGGGATCATCGCCATATCAGCAAGTGTGTCCGCCCAAACGTGTTCATCGTCCTTTGGACCCCATCCCGCCAACTCCGAACTGAAGGTTTTCATTCCTTTCGACTTAAGAATCGCAAGCCTACCTTGTAATCCAACGTCACATGTTCGAACCTCTGTAGGGAACCGGGCGACCCACGCTGTATCCTTGGCTTACTGCGACTGGTGGTAGTTGCCCGATATCGAAGCGTAGGTACAGTGTATCGGCATACTTCTGATGCCTTTTCGCCAATTCATCGCTTGTGCTCCGCTGCTCTTCTATCCATACTTTTGGCGTGCAAAACACATACGTCGCGGGAGTCGACGTGCTAACATGCACAGCACATGGCCCAGCCATCAAGGTCTGGGCGTGATATAATGATGCTGAGCGGTTCACTCGTTCTTCCTGCGCCAAATACATGACGCCGAAGACACACGTTGCACACGCGTGGTTCCCACCAAAAATGAGCTAATCTGCGAAGACAGCGATTGTCGAACGTAGCTGGCCTCTCTATGTCTGTCGACCTGGTGGAGCAAGTCTCATAACCGTAAAGAACGGTTACGTGGACGGCTGCATTATAAACTCTACCCTTCAGTGCGAGAGTTATGTCGCGTCGGTACCACAGGTGGCGGAGATTGGCAAAAACGTCTCAGGTTTTTTTCTGTGCGGTTTGTGATCTCATTTTCTATTCCACTGGCGTTAATATTGATGCCCTGGTACTTGAATTTCTGAACGGCTTCTAGTTGATCACCACCGAGGGTCAGCGCAGAAATGGGTCCACATCAGTCTTGGATAAGTGTTTGTATTTCGAGGAGCAAAGCAAGGCCTCAAAGGATTGACAGCCAGTGCTAATCTGTCCAGTGCTGTTTGACACGTTTGGGCACTGTCACAAGTGTGGACATTGTCGTCAGCACAATCCAAGTCAAGAAGTCGCTCATCAGGAAGCAGATCTCCACTTTAGTCGTGTCCAGTGAACGCTGTTTCTAGGACTTCGTCAGTTGTGAAGTTAGAGAGTAGAGGTGACAACGGGTAACCTTGTCTTACAACTGGACATATTGAATGTTGATGACATTTTGCCATTAACCATCACTTTTTCTGAACCATGTGCGTAAAACGATCTAGATAATTTTTACATATCATCACTCTTTTAGCAGACAGTCCTATTGGGCACATCGTTCGACCCTATCAAGGGCACCTTTGATGCCCAGGAACACGATTACGACTATTCCCTAATAATAATGGCGGTGCCCCAACAATTGTCACAAAGTGAAGATGTGGTCGATGTAGACTCAATTTCGACGAAACGTGGCTTGCTGCTCACGAATCTGACTTTTACGAGTGGCAATCTGTTTGTGAGAAGGACAGATGCAAGTAATCTGTAGACTGCTATTTTTATGGTTGCGCATTCCGAACGCGAGCCTCCCTTTAAAAATTGGACTTTGATAGAGCGGCGTCAATCTGCTGGGACAATCTCTTGCTCCCACAGCTTCACTATTAGATTGTGCAACTCATCTGCTGAGTTGGAAGCTGCGTTCCCGCCGTTTTTTGATATTAACATTCGGCATGCCATCAAATGTTTTACACAATGTTGTAAATTATTCAAAAGGGACTATTTTATTCTATTTTGTTTTTCGCCAGAGTTACTTTGTGTTTATTTTTCAGCTCATTCAAATGGAATGTCAAGTTGAGAAAAGTAAGCATTTTCAACACCGCAAGCGCTCCTCGCGACATTTGGACAGTGTGTCATTGCTGAAAGAACTGCTCGTGATTAATCTGTCAAGTTTACAAATGGCAATTTTTACCTCAAAGCGCAACTCGTTCTGGCCGTCTAGTGGAGTTTGATGCAGAGTGATTAAACCAACTTGTGTACGAACATTCGCGTCAAACGACAGGGGAACTGGCAAAGAAAATGGAATGCTCCCACACTCCCATAGAGAAGCATCTTCACTCGATGGGAAAGTATTATTAGTGCGCGGCATGGGTTCCGCATACTTTAAATGACAACAAAAATCCCTGCTGGTTTGCTTGCTCGTCGCTGCTGAACTCGAAGACACAATCAACGATGTCTTTGCCGGGCGACGAAAAATTGTGTCTGTGCATCAACATGAAGCAGAGGGTTTTTCAGCTATGGAACCCTGTCTATTCACCTTACAAATGTCGCGAGCAGCTTTCGCGGTCTTGGAACAATGATTAAAAGCAAAGAATTAGGTGTCGAAAGTGCTCATTTTCCTCAACTTGGCATTCCATTTTAATGATCGGAAAAATACACATAAATTAACTCTGCCACAAAGACATAATGGGACAAAACATTCTCTTTTGAATGATTTACAAAGCTATACCAAAAACATTCAGTGGCACGCGATTTAAATTTTAAAAAACGGCGGGAATTTGTTGTCAATCCAATACAAGAGCAGGGCCCCGAATTTGTAGAGGGATGGGAGAAACCTATCTGCCTCTGCGGCCTTATTCATTTTCGACAATCTGATCTCATGTTGGACTTCTGCGCGTGAGGGCGAATCCAGGCATTTGGCCCAAGGAGAAGGACAATCAATGCCAAAGGTGATAGCTCAGATTGGTTAAACTGATTTGCGGAGTGTTCGGCCCAATGCTCCAAATGTTTTGCCAAGCTGTGGATCAGATGTCCACTCTCGTCACGTGTGGTCTAGCTAACATCTGGTCCCCTGCTTCCCGTTTTCCGTATCAGACGGAACAACACGATTACCACCAACGGCAGCAGCTTTTTCCATCTCCGACGCCTCATAGGACCACCAGGATTCGCAGTCTGTTCGGGTTAGCGCGGAGTTTTGCCCTGAGATTTTTGCCAGTTTTTCGCTTCCAACCGGAACATGTCGGTGGGCATCCGGAACTAGGACAGATTTTGTAGAGATCCAATGTCCAGGTTGACAATTTGATTTACCATATGAAGACATGGCTGTTGATAGTAATGTCTGGCGAATATGCGACCAATGATCTTTAACTCAGTTCAGTGGGCGCTTACTCAGCCCAGATGTCAGCGTACTTTGACACGCATTCAGAACACCTGAGTTCGGCGGTTGGCTGGTGTGTGGGCTTCCGGTTCCGTGCCAGTTGTACATCTACAGTCGTTAGCTTGCACGGCGAATCCTCTGGCCAATTATTTCTGCTCATAGTTATGCTGCACCATAAAGACTATCCACTATTCTGTGGCTGTTTTCTTCTTGTGCTTCATCTGTGACTATAAACTTTGTATTCCGTACTTCAGCACTGCGCCCGTTTACATGTGAACAGTGTGGTAAATCGTTTTCTGCGAAACGCAATATACAAAAGCATCTCAAATCTGTCCATTCGAGTGAGTGTTTTGTTGATTGCATCATTGTTAGTGATCTCACTTAACTTTGGATGTTCAGCCATATTGCTTGCAGCAACTCCTTGTTTTATTGTTCTCACTGCTCAGTCATGCAATTCCGGTGTACCTGTTTCCAGACCAGCCGGTGTTCGTAAAATTCCTCCTTGTAGGACGGTACTTGACTACAAACTTCAATCCCCGTGACCGCACTCATGAAGATGTACTTCTCAGTAATTCGCAATTCAAATTGCGATTGCTGTATCGTCCC